GCACCTTATATAACTAACCTTTTCAAAATAGAACACCAACTAGGACCTGCATATAGATTTTAAAGCTTACAAAAACAACCAAAGGAATTAAATGTAACCTGTTAAGCTTGTTTCACAAGAGCAGGACTTGACGACCAAACAATTTATTTAAAAAAAAAAAACATACCCTGTATTTTCTTTATGGAAGAATCATATACCGAAGTTTAACACAAAAACTAAATAATGAGCCTGAGCACCTTTAGGCCTTCCAAGAAAAGAGGCACCACATTTTCATTTTCTTTGCTCCGTTTTCTCGAATATTCAGAATAACTTATGACTAAGCTTCAATGGAGCCACTACAAACATGTATATACATGTTACTCCAACTTTTGTGGACCACATTTCTAACTGGCAATTCTGAAGCAGTTTAGTAGTTTGCAATAAATATCTCTAATTTGGCACATCTTATAAAGGTCTAGAAATGTAATTAAAAAAATCTGAAATGTCTGCAAAAAGTTCCTGAAGTTTAAATCTAGGCAATATTTCTTTTCTCAAGCAGTTTTTTTTTTGTTGATTTCCATTAATCCTGCATTGTCAAGTATAACCTGATCCTCGGAAGGAAGTGTTTCCTTTTCTCTTCTTCTCCCTAAAAACTATTACAGAAATAGTATTAGTAATAGTCTTGGCAGCAATAGTGGTGATGGTAGCAATGTGCATATGTACTGTTTCTTACCCTTACGACAGGTCATGTCTGTTCAACTATAAAAGATTAACTACTCCATGGTATTACGTCCATTACGTCCACTCCCAGATTCGTTAGGACTAGATATATGAATCCTCTGTGTTCATGTGGCTCTACAATATTATTCCACTCTATCCAAAATTTCAGTGTGATGGAATTTAATAAACCTATCAGTACAAGTAGCAATGAAACCAGTAATAATTTACTTCCACAAATTTCTTCTATCGGACTGTAGTGTTCTTGTAGATGTACAGTCAGTAATTATTACAGTTACAATCAATGTATGAATATACAAAAAAGTTCTACGGCCTTTAAAGCATTCCTTAAGTTTTTAAATTTTATTTGGCAAAGTGTTCGCTGGATAATACAGGTTTCAACGAGCACAACTGAGCAAAAGCTTAACAGCTAATTTGAAAGCAGCTGAGCAAGTACTACAAACTTCTATGACTGAAGTTGTGTTATGTCTCAGCACAATTGCAACTACCATCCACCAGAGGAAATTTCTACTCACTACAAGTATAGAGCTACTATAGAGCTATATTTCCCTCGCGTATCTGTAATATGAATAAGCAGTTTTGCAGGTTGGGCCTACAAAAGGTTTGTATATAATGGTATTGCGTTTGTAAGTCTAGTTAAAAAATCCTGGAAAGTAAAGCCTCCTTTTCACCTACCATCATATCATTTTGATTTTGGGAGGCCTTAAATACAATTTCAAAATGTCTCAATTGAAATAATTTCAAATTGATGCAAAAAAAAGCATCCAGATGAAAGTCATCTTATGACTGTCAAATGAACTTTCTGGACTAGATTCATATCTACCATAAAAAAGAAACAAAGGGAAGATATCAACATTTCATTGGTCAGTTTTGATCAAGAAATTAAAAATGAGTGTTTAAGATATGACTATTGAATTGCAAGAGCTGAATGTCAACATCAGACATCTTAGTTTAAACAGAAGAAGATCAATGCCTCCACCGTACTACAAAAAGAGTTGCTGAGGGCTAAAGGAGGTTCAGTACTTTCAATTAGATAGGCAATCCAGCCTGGTTTCCCTCTGCCACTGGTTCCATTGCTAGAACCCACAGAAACAGAGAGGAGGTATATCTCAAGTTTCATCACCCCATGAACTAAGCACAAAATTAATGAGAAAATAATTTAAGAAGTCACTTCAATATACACATGTTTTCAGAAATTACCCACTTCAACCACATCATTTAGTTGCTTGTATGAGTTGTCTCCCCTGTCATATCTGTAACCACAAGCTTTCATTACTTTCTTGTTAGCCTATGATGCCCTTCTTTTCCCATAATTTCGGATAACATTCACTAATAATGAAATCTTCCCTGATATTACCAGAAAAACCATTGCCGAGATTCCGAAGTAAATGTTGCACCCAGCTATTGTGACCACATGCAACTGACACCAACATCGAGTCACATTCATTTCCTTCCACAAACCAGTTAATTGAGGGAGCCACAAAGTTAAGCTGTTAGAAATTTGAACTAGTCACACCGCTAGACAAACCAAATAGGAACTCAACATCCTAACTAGTGCTACTTTTAGCAGTCTGCAAAGATTTTATGACTTTAAGTTTAAATCATACCTTTTGGAATCAGAATGCAGTAAGAAACCTCTTCATGAGGAACATTATGGGAGTCCATATCTATTTTCTTTTCTTAATAACTATAACCACAGACAATATAAGGACATGACCAGCCCTGCTAAAAAATTAATCGTGCCATTCAAGAAACTAGCTAACATGGTGTGTAGCCTATGGATGTATATCAACACCCAGTCTTTGTCCAAATGAAGATATAAATTTAAAATATCTACTAATACATGATTTCCACATCAATGAGAACTTCAGGACAATTTAGATGAAAATGTTGTGCTTGATTTTCCAGCACATGATAAGACAACAGGAAAACCTTAATTTGTCCATAATATGATCCTTTCACATGGGTGATCTGGGCATTTTGAGCTCTCAAAGCTACACCTTTGATTTTAAAAGAGAATCAAACTAAACAAAATATACCTTTTCATCAAAAATTAAAATGATATCTTCACATAGCATGGAACTGAAATGGTCTGTAGAGGGTTCTTCCGTTTGCCCCCTAAGAGATAATCCCTGTATAGGCTACGTACTCGGCCCTTTTCTGAATGAGCAAAGACTAGAGTCAGCACTTCATCATGACAGATGTTCCAGCTGTTAAGTTTTTTGCGATTATGTACTTCGCGAAGTTGTCACCATCTTATCTAATGATGACTAATGGCTCAACTTGTCGATGCAATATAGGGCATATGCAGGTTCAGGTTACATACTTCTTTTTCTTATAAGATAAACTTTATTAAATAAAATGTGAGTGAAAAAAAATAAAAAATAAAAAAGTCCATACCAAGAAGGTAGTGATAGGCAGAAAATGTATACAAAAAGAAGTTGGATATTCCTTCACTAATTATCTAGAACATCTATGAGAATTTATTATATGCATTTACGTCATATCCCATCTCTTTCCTGTTTACCATTCTTATTCCTTTTGGACAAAAGGATATGCGTTTAGTAGATACGGGTGCCTTCCTAGGTTTTCTCCCTTGACAATTGCAAGAGTTTTAAGAAGAAAGAATAAATATCTTAAGATAGTTTACTATCTCAATCTGCCAAATCGAAAAAAAGATTATATACAGTGGAACGAGATACTGCAATAATTTCTTCATCTAATATATCAAGATAGTATAAGTGTTTTTCTTAATGACCGAGAAATCCTCGAGGGCAAGTGGCACTCGGTTCGAAACCCCACAATGGGTCTTTCCTTTTCGGGATGGCCTGCAAGTTTGGGTTATAATTTTACATCTTGCAACAGTAAGGATGTTAGCTGAACAACCTAAAATATTTCAGCCTTGAATGCATGCAGTGGTGCGACGACCATTTTCATTACTTTTTAAGGAGAATGACTGTGTCACTACATGTTCACTTAAATTTCATAAAGGAGGACTCCACTATCAAATCTGTTTTTGGACTTCACCAAACGTGGTATCCAATACCCTGGTTAAGCTTAATTTTCTGGTGATAGTATAGGCTAATTTCATTTAATGCTTCAGATCAAATGTTATTAGGCAACACAGTATTCGGAAGAAAAGATAAGTCCTTTGCTCTGCATCAGAAATAACCTTTTTTTAATTATTATATTTGCATAATCTATGTTCCATTCACATGGGTGGTAATAAGTCTGATTCAAGAAGTTTGTTTTGCCGGTCAAACCACCAAAGGGAAGAACATGGGACCTCTGGAGTAAGACAATCTCATAATTTTAAAAGTTTTCCTCCATTAGTTGACCAGAGTTAGGTGCTCAACAATGGCTCAATAATTAGAAAGTACTCTAATTCATTCCGAAGAAAGTGCACCTCATACAGATGTCATCTTCAAAACTTCAAATACATTAAGGGCATAACAAGATGTCATTAAGCAGGCTCCTATCTGACAAGGAAGAGAACATTAATTTTTATTCATTATACTAACGGTACAAGAGCACGGCCAACCCAATGAGGAAAAGGCAATGGAGAGCATATTACCCCAGATATACAACGAGAGGTAAGAAAATTACACATTTGTTTTTGACTTCACATTCTCTAAACTCTTGACAGGTTATTCATCTCCCATTGCTAATTCCAATGCATAATCATTTCTCTCCTGCAACAGGGAAAAGTAAACCTTAGGAACTTAGAGCAACTTGTATTACTTGTCCTTTCTTACATCATCAGTATCCCCTCTCGACTGCTTTCTTACATTAATAGGAAATTACAGAAACGTAGAACTTACAATAGGTCCTCGAAAAAAATATCACCCAAATTGAAGCCAATATACCTGAATATACCACATGATGTCAGGTCCGTGGTAGCATAATAGATCAAAACTACACAATTGATCATTTGGCTAAAACTTCAGAGGGGAGTTCTGAAAATAGCTGTCAGTACCTTTACTGTAAACCCCACCATTTCAACTACAAAAATATCAGCAAAGCTTCATGCTCTACTGATATAATTTTCTATCGAGGTAAAGTTTCCATGAAAATACTACATGTAATAAGCTAAAATCTCTAAAATGTTCAAAGAGGAAAACATGAATTCCATCTGGTTACTGGGAATACAATACTCGTAACTTTAGTGTCTCGCGGAAAATAAAGCAGTCAGAAAGGTTAATACATCTATTGAAATATGAAAAGTTTGTTGCAGGCTCATCTGAACATCACATCTCGCAAAGAACGTATGCCAGAGCAACACACTATAGAAGAAACTGGAAGGCCAAAGAACAAACATGTTGCTGCCTTTTTTGCTTAGCCCTGTTCGAACAGAGTCACAAATCTGCTTCTTGTCTAGTCCTCTAAGAGATCAATTTTTTCTTTCTAGCCATTCGTTTAGAAAATGAATACACTATAAACTGAGCAGTTAATCGCAGTCATTTGGCGCTCTTAACTAGCTTTGCATCTGCTGCATTTTTTGCATAAATTGAGGCTATAGATTTTTGGTCAGGCTTGATGTGACAAATGCACGGGCTGAGTGGGAATGGCATGAGTTAAAACCAAAACACCTCATTGTTAGTTCTCATAATAAAAAGCCCCACCGTTAATAGGCTAAAAGTAGGTTGGGCTAAAGGGTCCAGGTAATTCATTATTGTTATTTAAGCACTCATTAATTCATTTTTGCTAATCTCATAGAGCAACAATTTCTCTATATTTTGTTTTCTTTTTTGAAAAAGCTTCTTATCAAAGGAACCACATGCATCCTGCTTCTACAAAAGGGAGGGTAACTGTCTTTTATAGAAAGTGAGAAAGGAAGAAGTTTAGAGGAGTAAAGAATGTGTATTGCACATAACTCTTTCAGGTAGTGTGTCAGCTGCATGGATATGGCAAGTATTATTGCTGATGATTCAAAGGAAAACTTTGGCATTAGGCATGCGCCTAAGATGAAAAACATGGTGTGCCCTTTGGTTTCAATCTAAGTTGCTCCGACGGCATTTAGATGCCGCACTCATGTGACACGACACTAGTATGGGTGTGGGTATGGGATCTATACGGGATGTGGTCAAACAATTTTGGGCACTTTAACCATGACACTAGGTTTGTTGTTGTTGTTGTTGTTGACCATGACAGACGGAAAAATTCGAAACGAGATACAATTGATTCGATATCAAAACCGAAACTAGGGTAAATTTGAAGAAAATAACATATCTTATTTAGGAAATCAATTCTATACTTATCTACAACTTGAGAATAAAAAAAAAAACCATACTTTACAAGTTATACGTTAGTATTCCACAAAATTTCTCATAATTTAAAGATATTTTTATATTTTTTATTTTTTGAATTATTTTTAGTCTGATCCTGGCACTCGCATCCGTACTAGGAACCGTATCCCCGAATTTTAGAATTTATATCTCGAAGGATCCGACCTCTAGATCCGCACCCGTATCGGATACCCGCAACCATGTCCGAGCAACTTAAGTTTCAATTGCTTAAGGGCTTGAAGTTGAAAAGACAGAAAAACATAAGAAAATTGGGACATCGTCAGTAAGTATCCAGAGAGGGTCATCAACTGTTGATTCCTAACAAAGGTATGAATCTAGTATGCAGCCATATATTTTGTACCCATGCTTCATAGGCCAAACTGAACCTATAAAAGGTGGACGTCAAATGATTATTTAGATGGTAATGATTGGTCAAATAGATTTGCTCTTTATTGCCACCCAAAGCCAAACTTTTGCAATGCCAAGTGGTTAATTACCTCAGCTTCATCCTGTGTTTCAACTTCAAGGTCAGATAACGGAAATCCCACACAAAGAAGTGCATAACCCTACAAATCAAAGCATATTCGATTAATCCTGGTAAAAAGGTAGAAGAAGACAGGTAAAATGAAGACCGTCACTTCGCTTATATCTAGTTCAAGATACAGGTAAAAAGCCAGGACTTCTTTCAGGTATTAGCAACGCGGACCTCTGCGAAGAACCGAAGACCCTGTACCTCATCTGTTAACCTTAACCAATAGGTCTCAATCATTGAGATCCGAGCCTGTATTTTTGGCTCATAGGATTTGACAGGCTAATGGCTACCATCAAATCTCTTATATAAGTCTAATGAAAGAAGAATTAATGATAAGACCAGTTTTTTTTTTTGTTGAGAAAATAGGGAGTTGAGCATGGAAGGTACATCTCCAAGTCATGGCCAAATAGTTGCAAAGAGGGATTATTAACGAACTGATGAAACATTTCGTCAGTCATCTTGTCATTGAGTACCACATGAAAACAGTGGAGTTACTAGCTTGAGCTGGAAGTTTATGAATTCCATCTTCCAAAACCTCGAGGAACAACATCTCTTTATTGTTTTGTGGACAAATAACGTGCAGATGAAGTTCACATGCTTCATCCGTCTTGACTCTTGAGACCAAGAAATTCCTAGTTACATCACATATATGATTTTTTAAATAAGGAAAATGAATTGCATCACATGTATGATGTCACGAGGAATTTCAAAACATTCCAAAACCTTTTGGAATAAAAGCTCGTCATTGTTTCATGGACAAATAACATGCAGACAAGGTTGGCATGCTTTATCAGTCTCGAGACCAAAAAATTCCTTGTCACATCACATAAATATCATTTCTTTTTTGATAAGTTACATCAAATATATTAGCATAAAAAAGAGAGAAAAATTACATTTAAGGTTTAACAAAGGAGAAACAATCAAAACTACCGAGACTCGACAGTCAAACAGTAAAAGCGAATAAGAATTGCATCCACAGAAGCTCAACGTGATTTAAAGTACCTTAGACTTCAACTCTGCAGAAATCCCCAGTGCCTCCGGTTGTCTAAGTTCCCCTGATTTTACACGAACAGCACAGCTCGTACAACATCCTTCAACATATTGGATTGTTAAATTAGAAAAATGTGATATAACAAGACCATCATACGGAGAAAATCTGATGAAAAAGAGGCTAACGGTTAAAGGTCAAAAGTTACACAACCAAATCCCAATGCATTTGACCCTAGATCAAAGAGAAACGTGCATTTTCTGAGAAACAAACGAAAGAGAACCTTAAGGTTAAAACTGTTGGGATATATACTATTAAACATGAGTTTGGTTTAGATATAGTATTTATTATGAAATAATTGTTTATTCAGTTTAAATAAAGTTTTAAATAAATCATATATTAGTCTCTGTCCTTTGCTTATATAGTAGATGATTTAGTGTATAAAGTATAGTTTATACACAGAAGATTAAATCATTGGTTCTTATAAATATAAAGTTTGAGTTCACAATCTAATGATGGAATTGGACAAATCATTAGGAATGACTGTAGCACAAGATTAAATATAATTTATCTTGATTATGGAAATAGTTTAATTCCACCATCTTGTGCTAGTACATTTTGTATGTATTGAACGAACCAAGTAGAGATACGTATTTTATACTGACTAATAAAATAAACTCTCTAGCCAATAAATATATTTATACTCTTAATCTTGATATAATTATTATTAGCTGTATATATTATTATTGATTTAATTTATTAAAAGGTGAGATTCTTTCATGGGCCAATATGTCTGGTAAGTTGGAAAATAGTAATGTTCATTGGCGAAATAATAGTTAGTTAATGAAATCCATGTCTCGATTTGAGATTGATGATACACCTTTATGAAAGCTCATATGTTTTCATGTGTAAACCCGATCGGTGGATTTTGTATCCTACACATGAAATAAGTTAAGCGAAAGTCTAAAAGAAATAATCAATAAATTAAATCGTCAGTAATTTAATTTAATTGATTAGTATCTGAATCTTAACATTGGGAGTTAAATAAGATTTAATGGATGAATTTCGTAATTGAATAAGGAGTGCAATAACAGGTTTTTAGTGGAATAATTCGCAATTAATTATGGTGGATATTAATTTCGTAAATTATAAATTAATTCCATAATTGGAAGCCTTGTTAATTAAATTCTGTGGTCCCTGCTGTGCTAAATAACAGAAAATAAATGAATCATTTTTCTGGTGTAAAGGAAAACCTAACACGTTTTGGAAAAGGGTTTTAACCCTTAAAAGTTGTGCTATAAATACACGTCGGAATTGACGTTCCATTACATTTAAGTAGTGGGAGAACGTTAATAGACATAATTTGCCTTTATTGAGTGGGAATGATGTTTGAACAGTGAACACTATAGTAAGAAGTCACTAATATTTCAGTGGGAGAATGCTAAAGAAAATCATAGTTCAGTGTATACTATTGGGATAGTTTCGGTAACAGGGTCCCTGAAGAGTTTAATACCAAACTAGATAGTTACGACAAAGCACTACTGGACAAAGATTGCATCAGAAAATAACTTGGCAAGATTCTTTAATAAAACCTTATTTGGTGAAGTCTTTTAATAGTCACGAAAAAGAATGCCTGAGAAAGTTGTAGATGCATGGTTATGAGTCTAAGTGGGAGATTGTTGGGGTATATACTATTAACCATGCATTTGGATATAATATATTCTAATAATTATCATGGTTAAAAGTCTAAGTGGGATTGTTGAGATATATACTATTAAGCATGTGTTTGGTTTAGATATAATATATATTATGAAATAATTGTTTATTCAGTTTTAATAAAGTTTTAAATAGATCATATATTAGTTTGTGCCTTTTGCTTATATAGTAGATGATTTAGTGTATATAGTTTAACTTATATATGGAAGATTAAATCATCGGTTCTTATAAGTATAAAGTTTGAGTTCACAATCTAATGATGGAATTGGACAAACCATCAAGAATGATTGTAGCACAAGATTAAATATAATTTATCTTGATTATGGAAATGGTTTAGTTCCACCTTCTTGTGCTAGTACATTTTGTATGTATTGAACGGACCAAGTAGAGATAAGTATATTATACTGACTAATAAAATAAACCCTCTGGCCGTTAAATATACTTATACTTTTAATCTTGAAATAATTATTATTAGCTGCATTTATTATTATTGTTTTGATTTATTAAAAGGCGAGATTCTAAATTGGACAATAATAATGTACATTGGCGAAGTAATAGTTAGTTGATGGAATCCATGTCTCAGTTTAGAGATTGATGATACACATTTATGAAAGCTTATAAGTTTTCATGTGTAAACCCGACCAATGGATTTTGTATCCGACACATGAAATAAGTTAAGCGAAAGTCTAAGGAAAATAATCAATAAATTAAATCGTCATTAATTTAATTTAATTGATTAGTATCTAAATCTTAACATGGGGAGTTAAATAAGATTTAATGGATGAATTTCGAAATTGAACAAGGAGTCCAATTATGAATTTTTTGTGGAATAATTCGTAATTAATTATGGTGGATATTAGTTTCGAAAATTATAAATTAATTTCATAATTGGAAGCCTTGTTAATTAAGTTATGTGGTCCTTTATGTGCCTAAATAACTGGAAATAAAGGAATCATTTTTCTGGTTTAAAGGAAAACCTAATAGGTTTTGGAAAAGGGTTTTAACTCTTAAAACTTATGATATAAATACAAAAGGTTTCCACCTAGAGAAGAGAGAAATAATGGACGAATTTCAGCCATATTTTCCTAGAAAATTTCGTCCACACGAAATTACTATTTTCGGAAATTATTTGGGTAACACAGTAGAAGATCGTGGAACGTTCGGAGATCGTGATCGTGCGGATGGTGGAGATTTCAATGAGATGATGTGAAATTGAAGGCTCATGTGACTGAAGAATCGTGTTCACACTTCAAGAGATAACCCGTGAAATCCCGTTTATACTAGTTATCTAGATTACATGTGATTTTGATACTGGAATTGTTTCCGCTACTCATAATAATCCATCAAAAACAAACCACAAACAAAGTGCATGGTACTCCTTAGTGGAAATCAAACCCGCTANGAATGCTATTGTAAATTATTGGATATGAACCAACACCATACCTGCAAGCGAATGAGAACGCAATGTCCTAAGCCTTTGCTGTATGCAATATATATTGGTCATGCATTCTAATTCAACTCTTCAAGTAACAATTTTAAATATAACGCACGAATTTAGCAGGAAAAAGTTTTTGGAATTAGTAACCCGGGAACGAGGAATTCGTGAACCACGGCACGTGGGCGGTTGAGAACGGTGACTTTATGTGTGGGAATTGAGGGAGAATAGCTGCTACCATTTTGGCCGGCGACGGGAGTTTGAAATTTCGAAGTAGTTTTGTGGCGGCATTTGACGGAATTCAAAGAGAAGTTGATGGAATTGAGAGAAGATAGTCGTCGGAGAAGAGGGGAAATGCAAACGCTACAAGGAGGTTGAGGAAGATCCATTGACCGAAGAAGAGGTTCTGTTGTTTGTGTTTCAGGGGGCAACTGGATAAAGGTCAGAATAATTAACTAATGATCTTCCAGTGTTCACTATTTGAGCCTTTTAGCAAATACTGTCCCTTATTCCAAAGTATGTCTATTTTTGTCCTTTAAATATTGCTCTGGACATCTTTAGTCCCTTATATTTGTTAAAATAAAGCATATTTGGTGTTACTAATGGAACATGGTTAAAATCTAACTATTACTACGCATGCTACTTAGGTGTCACCGTTAAAAATTAAACTCCTAGTCTTGAACTTATTGTCACGACCCAATCCGATGGGTCGTGACGGGCACCCGGTACCTTACTGAACCGAGTACCATTGTAACGTATCTTTCTTATTACATCATCATATACACATGACATGCGGGCCTAATAGGCCAACATGATCATTGGATATGAACCAATACCATGCCTGCAAAAGAATGGGAGCGCAATGTTCTGAGCCTCTGCTGTATGCAATATATATTGGTCTTGCATTCCAATTCAACTCTTCAAGTAACAATTTCAAATATAATGCACGAACTTAGCAGGAAAAAGTATTTGGAATTAGTACCTCGGGAACAAGGAATTCGTGAACCACGGCACGTTGGCGGTCGAGAACGGTGACTTTATGTGTGAGAACTGAGGGAGAATAGCTGCTACCATTTTGGCTGGCAACGGGAGTTTGAAATTTCGGAGTAGTTTTGCGGCGACATTTGACGGAATTCAAAGAGAATTTTATGTTATGTAGAGAAGATAGTCGCCGGAGAAGAGGGGAAGTGCAAGCGCTACAAGGAGGTTGAAGAAGATCCATTGACCGAAGAAGAGGTTCTGTTGTTTGTGTTTCAGGGGGCAACTGGATAAAGGTCGGAATAATTAACTAATGATCTTCCAGTGTTCACTATTTGAGCCTTTTAGCAAATACTGTCCCTTATTCCAAAGTATGTCTATTTTTGTCCTTTAAATATTGCTCTGGACATCTTTAGTCCCTTATATTTGTTAAAATAAAGCATATTTGGTGTTACTAATGGAACATGGTTAAAATCTAACTATTACTATGCATGCTACTAAGGTGTCACCGTTAAAAATTAAACTCCTAGTCTTGAACTTATTGTCACGACCCAAACCGATGGGCTGCGACGGGCACCCAGTACCTTAATCAACCGAGTACCAATGTAACGTATCTTTCTTATTACATCATTATATACACATGACATACGGGCCTATTAGGCAAACATGATCATTTATAAACTGAAAACGTAGGCCGACAAGGCCGTGCAATCTTTCACGTACACGACATATGTCTACAAGCCTCTAAGAGTACATAAATATCATAAAGGTCGGGACAGAGTCCTGCCATACCAAACAATACATGTCTAAATCATACTAATCAAACACGCAACTCCGAAGCAAATGGAGCGCACCAATATCTTCCGCTGAGCTGATATCCTACTTGGAGGGCTCTCGACCTGTCTATCTGGACCTGCGGGCATGAAACGCAGCATCCCCAGTGAAAAGGGTCGTTAGTACGAAAAATGTACCGAGTACGTAAGGCACATAAACAAGTACATAACAGACATGGAAGAAATATGGAGTACATGACTCAACCTGTAAGTCTGAATAACCTTGTAATCATGAAATAATTATAGTATAATGCATATGCGTATGAATGTCATGTCGTGCATAGGTATATATTTCATAACATCATTAGCCTCTGAGGGCATCCCATCATATCATATCGGCCACTGTGGCAAAATCATCATCGTATATCAACTGATCAGGTGGTGGTGCGTATATAACGTCGTTTGAATCATATTTCAGCCACTATGGGCAACATCATCATCATATACCAGCTGATCAGGTGGTGGTGCGTATATAACGTCGTTTGAATCATATTTCAGCCACTATGGGCAACATCATCATCATATACCAGCTGATCAGGTGGTGGTGCATATATAATGCCGTAACCTTTTTCCTGTATCCCATATAAATATAATATACATATATACGCGTATATAACGCCATTTGGTCATGGGTCAATGCACATGTATGAAATGCATGAAAAATACGTAATAATCTGAATATTTCTTCCGGATAAATTTTTTCAACTACATCTTATTCTGAGACCCATGAACAGAAAATAATAATAATTTTCATGGGGAATCAAGAATATAGACCCCCCTACTATTTCTATGAATAGAGTAATTTATGGAAACTGTGTGTTTGCTCGTTTCCTTAGTATCATATAGACCATGCCAAAAGAAAGAAGAGAGGACCTTAACATACCTGGAGTAGAAAAAACTCTGTATAATATCTCGTTGGAGAACCTTCGTTAAAATATTGGATGAAACCGGTTCTGCTCTTTTGAACCTAATGAACGAAATAGGCTTCCTCTAGTTGAAGAATTGAAATTGGACAAAATATTTCTAAAGAATGTATGTCTTCTACATTTCCTTAATACAAATTGGTTTCTGAATTCCAATCTTAAGGAAGGAATCTTTCTTGCACTCTTTTGGGAGGGGGTAACGTTACTTTCTTGTTATGCATGACTTTTTCTTTATCAATTTAGTTTTTAAAAATTTTATCTTGTAAAATGAATTACACCCCACGTTAGATAACAAAGAGATAAGACTTAAAAGTCTTATTTTGATAAAGTTACTTTATTTACTCCTTAGGTGTAGACACCAATGTATGATTTGTTATGAGTCATCTTGTAATTTGGTGGCCTTGTGCCACGTGGAGAGTGGGTGAAGATTAATAATCTTTACCCACTTATTAGTTAACTGGGTAATGTCCCGTTACCTGGTAATTAAACAATTACCCGCATAATTAAGTATTATCTAAAATTACATGAAATACTACTCAGTTTTAATACACTTTATAGACCTTACTATCATAGCCATATGGTACCTTGTATGACACTAGTCCATAAATACCGGGTATTTTAGCTCGGGCCATATTTTATCCCAAATTGTCAAACTTCGACGAAATTTACTTTCTTCGACTTTCTTATCTTCTCACCTTCACGAACTTACTCTTCACTTTCTTGAAATAGCATAATGCTTATAATCTCAAAATAATCCCATTCCCGAACTTACGTGGATTAACTTACGACGAAACTTTAATGTAAAAAAATGTGGGATGTAACATCTCATTTCCGAGTTTTCATCAATTTATTTATGGCATACTTTCACGTAAGAAAATATGGGGCGTAACATCATTCCCCCTTTTGGAACATTCGTCCTCGAATGTTGACTGATGCACTTATCATTTTCATAACTTATGTCTTCCGAATACTTTAATACTCTTCTTACCATCTAGGCAACTGTTTTGTGAATCAAAAGGCCAGGGCATTCTACCCATTAGGCCTCTTTCTCACATCACAACTCGTGATCGGAATCCTTCCAATCTTGTAACTGATGCTACCTTTTATCATGCAGCCTGTACGACTCTAACATTATAAGTGCGCCTATGTGACTCTTCTCTCTTTTTTCCTCCATCTTTTAGTCAATCTCTAGGCCTTACTTTGTAATCATATACAGAGCTTAGTAAGATGTCTCTCTGGGAATCTATACTGAAGTTCTTTGCTCGATACTTTGTTGAACTTACGAATATTGTTATACCTTATTTCATAGATCTGTTAATCCATCCGTATGACTTTACTGCCATAACTCTTACATTTATTTATTATTACTGAGGTCTACTACCAAACTCTACGTTACTCTCGTTGCTTATCCTATATGTATAAATCTATGCCCTTTAATGCCTCCTCATTACAGTTCATCGTAAGAATGACGGCCTAATCTTACCTCATACTTTGTGACTTCTGTTCAACCATTGTTGGTTCACCTCGATGTTGATCTACAATCTTTCATTGATATCATGAAACTTCTTACGTAATACATTGACATTAGGGCTTATTCCTTATCGGGGAAAATCTAAAATGATTAGACTGATCCACTTGGGGCTATACCAAGCTTTAATAATCTTATCTCATAGCATTCTAATGTGATTCACCTTACGCGGGTATTTTAATCCTATACAATTCATGAGATCCCCTTCCTTTATTTTTCTTCTTCAAATCATTACTCAAGAGAAGGCCCAAACGTCATCCTTTATTTATCATAATTAAACCCTCATTCTGCTACCAGGGCAGCATTCTATCTCTTCTAAATGATATTAATCTTAGACTCCTTTGAGTTCATTTAGGCTATACTGAACTTTCTGTAACTTAGAGAAACCATTAGCTCTCTTATTTTCATGGGCTTAATCCCGAGGACTTATCCGTTCTTGTCAACTTTTCATTCGCCCTTTCTTATCCTTACTCTTGTCTTCCCAAAACTCTATCGCCTTATCATACTTTAGCTTGGAACTTACACACATCTATTTATACTACTCGCAACCTCCTTTCAACTTGTTTGAACCATAGATTTCCTTATGTTATTCTGGAATATCAAGCGAGACATCACATCGTCTCTACCTCTTCTTTACTCTCTTAGTCAGGCTTTTCGATACCCAAATCATAGGCTGGAAGATATGCTACTGACGATGCCGCTATTATTCCTAGATACTGAATCCCCGTGCTTCTAGCCTTTTATCCGAAGTATGGACTATTCAAGATCTTATGCCTTTGCGTATCTCGTACGTTGTTCACCTTTACCTTACTTGCCTTAAAATATCGCATCATATATTCTATCTCTTTCATGACCTCCCTTCCACCTAGGTGTAATTCACATCCATAACTTGAAGCTCTATTATAATACTTTCACCTTTGGTGCGTATACAATCCAGTGGGAGCTTCATGTTGAATTCTTATGAGGCTGATACTCTTTTCACAATCTTTGTCATAGAGCCATTATAAAATATGGCTACTGTACTATCCCTCTTGTACCTCTAATATTAAGAGTGATTCTGCAATGTTCTCAATCATGATGTCTATAATTTTTCTGGGTCCAATAACCAAACTCCTGATTTACTTCGTTGATGTAGCTCTTTAGTTTCGTCCTCCTTTTGATCAGTCTTTATGTAGGCTTAAGTTATATTCCAATCTGCGGCTCCTAGTATTAGTTATTACTTTGGCCTTTCATGGGTATTATGGAATATCCATGATATAAATTTTAACTCTTTGTCTATGACCTGGACTCAAT